TCGTCAGTTTCTGTCTTTTCGATTTTCGAAAAACCCGTTGTGTTCTTTTCTGTGGCCATGGGCATTGGCTTCGCCAGCAAATCGGTAAAAGGTTTGGGCATCCCAGACACAGAGGCTTCAGTTTCGCGACGATAAGCGAATTTTAAAGTATTTAGCTCTCTAAGCCGGATATTAAAGTTGGCTATGGAACCTAGCCTATTCACGTAACCACAAACTTGAATGTATTCACCCTTGGCAGCGATCGGTAAGAATTCCAGATCAGTCTGTTCATCGAATTCAGGACAATCGTTATAGTCCCATCTACATCAAGGATTGTTGCATTCGACAGGTCCGGTCAATCGTCTGTCGAAATAGTGCATAGAATTGCTCGATGCAGTCTCGATGACCGTGAAGGAGGATACTAAAAGAATTAATACTTCGTGTAGAAGTAAACATGGTAATATTGAGATATTTAAATGAACGCTGAATTCCATGATTTAGCTACTTTTATATGTAAACCATGATCCTTTTGGAGACTACGGTTTACTACAGCGTTGCGACGTAAATGGTCATGAGGTTGATATAAACTGAAAATATATCGAGAATATTGCAAGGGGATAGATAATTTTGCACAGTCTTAGTCAGGGGTATATTTATCGCGCCCCACCGTGAAGTGAGTTGGCGGCGTAGGCTAGGAACAACTATCGTGGTGAGGTATAGCGACATATGGAGGGGCGTCCACGAAGTTCGGATGTATATTAAATCAGTCTGGCTGCACTCTACTGTGTAGTAGAGAGGATAACTCGAAGGATGGCACTCATAGTTGTCGATGGTCGCACTGAGGCTCTGAGCATTTGCACAGTACATAACGGGAATATTTTATGACGTCATGTATATTTAGACATATTTTTTACTACAAAAATGAACAAAGAGTGAAAGCCAAACTTTTTGTATTTATTATAAAATATATTTACAAACTACATATAAAAATAAAACAAGTTGAAAGTTGTATATTTTCTATTCCAATTTCGAGGTTTCCTCGGACTGTGTGAGTCGGGGATGAGGCTAAAAGTGATATTTTTTTAGAAATTAGAATGGCATATTTACATGTAATACGCAAAGGAATAATTTACTTGACCAATGAAACATTTATTTATCCATATCGCGTCAAGAAGAGCGGGAACATGCGGGCCGGAGACATCAGGCGAAGGTAGCCGCAAGATCAGGACAGTTGCAAGCAGCTGCAGCTAGACAGGAGTCCAAAGGTTCAGGGATGACAGGTCTGAGATGGACTTGCTTGTTTTGCAAGCAAGATGGTCACGTGAATTAACTGGTCACTAGGCAAGGGGTGACTAAGTATACACTGTTTCCGGTTGAGGTGGTAAGAGAGAAGTCATCAGACTTTAAGACCTGGCTGAACAAAGAGGCGTCTGAGCCGGTGTTAGATTATATTCAGCATGTTGCGGCGCCGTTAGTATATCAGCGAACAGAACAGGTAACACAATTTTTTAATATGCAAGATGATGGGGGTTATAATTCAGATTATGAAAGTGATGGATCCGGGGGTGAGGATGATTATATAATGTTCGTTCGAATTATCAGCTAAATTCGGGTACATATCCGATACCAACAGAAGATGAATTTCTGGCAACAATTGAGGGGCGCAAATGGAGAACCGATGTGGATGCTGGAAATGGTTTTGGGCAGTTAATGATAGAGCCTGGTAGTCGAGGGGTTATTGCATTTTTGACGCCCTGGGGAGAGAGATTTCAATTTATTGGGATGCCGTTTGGTTTGAAGGAAGCATCATTTGTTTTCCAACAACTAATGGATGAGTCATTGGAAGGAATTAAAGGAATTAAGACGTACATTGATGATACCGCGTTAGGTTCGGATGATCCAGTTGAGCATTGGAATGGTATTGTGGAGATGATCAGGCGCTTTGAGGCGAAAGGGATACAGTTGCGGCTGTCAAAATGTAATTTTGCATATCGAGAAGATCCTATAGTCGTGATCGGTCGAGAGGTTACAGATAAGGGTTCGATGATAAGTGAAGTGAAACTTCTGGCGTTTTTAGATATGCCCAGGCCTAAAACCAAGGCCGAAGTCAGATCGTGGTATCAGTGTTTTGGATGGTGGGCGAGATACGTTCCGAATTTCTCAAATGTGTTGGCTCTTATTAGTGATTTGACTAAGAAGAAGGTACAATTCCAGTGGGGTCATGAGCGGGAGAAGGCTTTTCAGTCGGCTCGGGAAGACAGTCTTGGTAGAACCTAGACACGATGAGCAACTTAGGTTGCAGACAAATGCGTCGGATTCGGGTATAGGTGCTTGTTTATGGTGTGAGAAGAGATGAAGAATGGCTTCTTGTGGGCTTTGTGAGTTCCAAGATGGATTTCCATGCTAATTTGTCTCCGACAGATAGAGAATTAATAGCGCTAGCATATGGGTTTTTGAAGTTCGCGGGTTTGATTAGGAGATTGTACGAGGTGCCTATAGTAGAGATGGATCATCAGCCTTCAATTGGTATGGTTCAGCAGGTAGATTTTACGTCGGATCCAGTGGGTAAGAGACGGCACAGGAATTTTATGTATGTACGAACGTTTGATATGGATCTACGGTTTTAAAGTTGCGGATGGACTTAGTCGTATTCCGTGGTGGTTTGATCCTACTTTAGTGCATGTGTCGGTAGAGGGTGTTAAGTTTGCTGCATGTGCAAAAATAGGTCTGCCAGAGATTGATGAAGGTGTGGATTTGTCATTTGATAAAGTCTACAAGAGTGTGGAAGACATAAGGGTCCGGCTAGCGGTGGTTAAAGAGAAGCTGCGAGTGCCGACTTCAAGGTTCGTGTGGGTTGATTGCATCAGCAGGCTACTGCAATGATAGAGAGATAATGTGGGATCCGGATGAAATGGCTAGCAAACAGCTTAAGTGTATTGGTCTAAGTGTATGGTCAGAACTTGTTCAGCCTTTGCAAGAGTAAGTTATTAAGCTGGTGCATCAGGCTTTAGCGCATGCTAGGGTAGATAGAATAGGGGAGTTCCTGAAAGTTAAGTATGGAGAGGAAGTGTTGTGTTCACAGGTTGTGAAGGTTTTGAAGAGTTGTGTTGCGTGTCAGCAAGTTGAGGGGCTTCGTAGGACTACAGGGTTCTTAATACATCC